TCGATGTAAATGAAAACAAAGTTCAATAAATACTAAATATATATCTAATTATTAAATAAATTATGTTTTGAAAAGAAATATTGTAATGAATAAAATGTTTATTTTACTTTTAAATCTAACAAAAAAATATCGAATGTAATAGAAGAAACGTGGAGAAAATATCCTTCGTAATTCAACGATTATCACATGTTCAATTCCAATATTCCCAACCCAATTAGATGATATGATGATTATTGATTACTAATCTTGTTTATTCACCACGTTTCTCTTCTTCACCTCACTAATATCGTTTACAATAATATACATAGATTTTAACATGACCACTAATGAAAGTACTAATACAAATGCTTCAAAATACACTGCGTAGATTTTGTTGTGGACAAAAAATGATCCAAAAATTAATAAACATGTGGCAAGTGATGCTGCATTGATTAACTTAGGATCTCCGAATATAATGTATACAAAAACTAAATTGGTTGTAGCTGCAGCATTCAAGCAAATTTTGATTGATGTTAGAATTGTATCTACTTGTGTATGAAGTTCCTGTTGTTCTATCATACTTATCAATTCATCAAATTCGATAGAATGATTTTTAACACAATGGTAACAATTATGTGAATCATTGAGTATTGTAGTAACGATATTTTTCATAATATTTGAACCATTAGTACTGATTGATGATGTACTATTTAAATCTGTTCGATTAAATAGTGGCCAGGAATAATACCCACATAGACAGAAGAGTACAATATATGCCATAACAGTCAAGAACAACAAGGTGTACAACCATTTCGTGTTGTTTAATTTTTGTAGATAAGTCGATGAAGGTGTCTAAAAGAAAAAAAGAAAAATCAATGTTATAAATAAAAAAGCTTTCAGAGTACTTTCTATTGTTGACAGCTAAAATTTCCTATTAAACTTACACCGGAAGTATACTAACTAATTTGACGTTTTCGACTTTATCTTTTATTCATAGATCAATTCCAGTGAGACTAAGAAAATCCTAAAATCGTTTTTGTTTCTGCCTCTTTGTCTCCGAGATACGTTCAAGATTACGCGGAAAAAAGAAGTTAAGAATTTATTCTTAATATAATGGAATAAAAAAAACAATTAAGATCCCCTCCCACTGAAAAATCGCGATTTTCATCAAAAAATTCGATTTTGAGGTTTTAGTGTAGTTAGATAGCCTTCAGTACTTACTTTCGAAAACACTATGATTTATCGGGCTTCTGTTGCTTTCTCACGGTTTTAGAGAGGTTTTACTGAAGGTATCGAAGTCAAGAAAAAACAAGTTATTTGAATTTGTTAGTTATTAGTGTCTTTTGAACTTTTTCCTACGATTTTTATAATGAAGAATCTAGTCGAGGTGTGCCCAATAGCACGTGTTAAATCGATTCGTCATAGTCTATAACATCTGGCAAACTACTATCGATTCATTTTCTATATCATTTTATTAAGAAAGAAACTTGTGTTTCAATGCTAAACTTTGTTTCGCGTTTTTCTCGAAATTGATTTTTTTGTTTTTTTACTGTTTGTATTTAAAACATTTCTCTGGTATTTCACATGATAAAAATCTCGAAAAGGCCTTAAATTGAAGAAAAAACTACGCTCTGCAACTTAACAGAGTTGAATTTTTCATTTTTGACTTACTTCTTGAAAAAAAACTGAAGGGGGGGGGGAGCTTAAGAATTATCATAAAAATCTCAATACATGAATCTGTTCATCGAGATTGAGCAAAATTAGATCGACAGTAGGCATGAAAAAAAAGAAAATCAACAATCAGGACAATCTAGTAGTGTTCTTCTCGTGTTTCCTTCTCTTTCATATATTTATATGACTTCATTTAAAACTCTTTCACTACTACATCAATGCAGGATGACACATTGAATATATTTCTACGTTACTTGCATTCGATATTACACAAGTCAACATCATTCTATATGTAGATATGCATTTTTATTCTTTGCTTATGTCAAGAAATAGATTATTTCAACAAAAAATAACATAAGAGCAACGAACATTACTAAATATATTCAACATTGAGCGAAGAACGAGAGAGTATGAATGACTTTTCTTCTGCTAGTATTTTGGTCGTAGAAACTGTAGAAAGAATGAAAGAGAAATTTATTTTGTGAAGGCATCTTGACCAATGAACATCATGTTTATCGTTTAGAAAAAGAGAGAGATGAAGGAAAAGAGAACACTGCTGTCCAGGTCAATACGACAGAAATAAAACTTAGGCTCTAAGTTACATGTATTAACTTTTATACAGTGCGAGAAAAGATAATTTTATTCCATTAGTGGATTATTCTTGTTATTCATATACGTTAACACGAAAAGGCATAAAAATATTAAATGTTCGTATAATTAAAAAAAATATTCCATTAGAAGATCAGCAACACTCCGATATTCATACTCTTTTATGTACATGTCCATTAGATAAATTAGCATATAGTGTATCGTTGATATGGAGTGGTATTGATCCTATAATGCCCTGTTTAGTAAACATGAGATGCTTCTTCACATGGATGGCACCACGTACACTAATTGTTCTAATTGACACAAATACATTAAAGAATGAAGATGTTGGAGTACAGATGATTTGAACAAGAACTAATTCGTTTTTAGTTTTTTGGAATCCGTTTCTACGAAATAATTTTATATGTCAAACATCTTAACATAATTCGGAAGATTTTGCTTAATCGTTTCATGAGAGCAACTTGACAGATCTTGTTTTACTACTCGAAAAATCTGATATATTGATTCGATAGCTATTTTTGTAAACAACTTATTTGATGCAAGTAAATCTGACGAAACAACTTACTATTTTAAGCAACGCTGACCAACACGAACTTATTATTCTTGATAAATTAAGCATTTTTAATCTAAAATAAAATGATTATTTTAATTTTTTTTTGGTTCACTAGCAAAGATCTTTTAAAATGTATCTACTTAGAAGTATGACAAAAAGAATTGTTAGTCGACAGACTAACTTCTCCTGGTTCGTTCTTTATTCTCTTCTTAAAAGTAAACAACGATCCATATTACATAGCATAACATGAAAGACAGGGGAAGATGAAATAACCAATATAGAGAGAGAAGAGAAGAGAAAAGAGAGGTAGTGGATAGCAGATAACGCCACTACCTAACAAGAATTATTCTATTAGATTATTGTCGCCTCGTATTTGTCCGTTGACAATTCAATTTCAAAATGAAATAATTCGTTTTCTTTATCTTTTATCGATCATTCCTTTCAAATGTCATTAAAAAATGACATTTATTCAATTGTTTTAGGGGCGGATCCGTAGTTAACCAGGATAGTTCGGAACAAAAAAAGACAGCAATTCTTGTTCAACAATTTGTTACAGTTGGTGAGATCACATTTGAAACCAATAATGTAAGTTTAGCCTTTCGACTCGATCCTGTCGGATATATACGCATAGATGAATTTCTCAAGGCAAAACATATCATCGAGTATCACAGTTATACGATTTGAAAGACGTCCTTTCTTGGCTCATTCATAATTAGTGATGGCAGTCACGCGATGTCCTAGTCTCACTAATTCGGTAGCATCCACACCAGAACCACAGTTAATGTTGAAAATGTCGTAGTATTGGTGAGTGGGATAAATAGTGTAGAGAGTTCGAAGAGTTGATTGAGTAGGTTCAAGACATCCAATTGGTAAATCATTGTGAATTTCAAAAACTATTATACGAACATAATCATCTGATGATAGAGGCATGTCGTGTCTTATGTGATAACAAAAAGTAAGCAAAAACTGAAAAGAAACATTGGAAAGAAGAACAACTCTTGTATAACCAAAAAAACCGTATAGAATAACAATCATTTCAGGGTTTATGATATTGCAACAACATTTATGAGAGCCTCTTTATTCGAGGTATGGGTGTGGGTTTTTTTCTTTACTGACAAACTTTCACTCACACATACACCCACACCCACACCCGTCCAGAACTTAATTTTTAATTTATTAGATTTATCCAAATGTCGAAAATTACCTTTCAATAGTATATATCACATCGTAGCTAAACCGTTAACCTCATTTTTTTTTCATTAGACGGTCAAATAAATCTCGGCATCTTAATAAAATTCTGCGAGATATCGAAAGAAAGAACTCCAGAAACCTCCTAATTCTCAATGTTTCTCAATTATATCTACATTATTAATTTATTCTTCTAAAGTTAAATGTATGTGATAAAAAATGAAAACTTAAACTATAATTATATATTCTGTTTCTAATATCATCAATAAATCGATTATTATTTGTTGTTTAGTGGATGTTCAATAGCGTCGACAAATAATGTCACTTCAACAGGAGATATATACATACTTGCATGTGATAAAAAGGAATAACATATAAAAAAAACTAAAAATTGATTCTCAACTGTAACTTTCATTTATCACAAAACCTTATCAAAAAAAACAATAGAATAAAAAGAAAATTTCAAGAGTAAATAGTGAAATTGTTGCTGTTGTGATCAAGTAACAGTTGTAGGTCTACCAATTTTAACCAATATTATTGATTACGCAAAATTTGTCGTGTCTCATTCTGACTGTAATAATAACATAGTACGTATATTAGTAGAAAACAAACCAACAATCAAATTTTAATATTCATTTTGTATTAACTAATCAAATTTACTTGGCGTTCGTTCGCTGAAGAAATTATAATAAAAGAATTACAATAACTCACACTACCAAGCACTACTTATGAATATTATTAATAATTATATAATAAATCAAGCCTTTTCGTTCTTTTCCTAATAATTGAAATTGCAAACAAACAAAAAAAATATATTAAAAATAAGAACCACTCACTATAACAAACAGCTTAACAACAAGAGATAAATAGTCAGAAAAAGAGAGAAAGAGAATAAGGACAAGACAATTAAGCATAAGCAAAAGAAGAAAAAAACAGAAAGAAATCTCAAGGGAATGTGTTTGTAAACGAAACAGAAAGAAAAGCACACAAAATTAGTTTATCACAACTCAGTAGGATCATGTGTACCGATTGAATGTGTTGGGTCACCATCATCAACAATCATTGTATTTGTTGGTAATGTTGTTAATAATAAATTTGGTTTGCCTTCATCTTCCCATTGAGCCATTAATGTTTTTATTTCTTGATCATAATCAGCCCATTCAGCTATGATACGTGTAGCTGCTTTTAATTTTGGTTCTTTTGTTTGTGGATTATTGCAAAGATCTATTGTTTTGGCACGTTTTTTCGATTCATCATCACACCATGTTTCACACCAAAGCCATTCTTCAGGTAATGAATAAATATTAACTTGATGTATCATATTATTTGGTAAATCTTGATCAAGATTTGATAAAGAATTTGGATCTTGACTTAAACCATAATATTGACCACGAAGACGATCACCAGCAGCAATTTTACGAAATTTTTTCAAATCAATAACATAAAGTGCTGATATATGATAACGTCGATGACCTAAATGACTGGCCCAATAACCACTCTTCCAAAATCGATAACCTTCCATTTCTCGACGATTTTCACAAAATGGGACATAACCATATGGAGCTCCTAAAGATCAAAATAAAAATTCTTATGTAATAACTATAGAGTTCAAATGATAATATTTGTTCTCACACATCTAGATATTCTATCGTTTTAAATGTATTCAGTGTTTTATCTAGGTTTTGCTTTTCGAGTGGGTGAATCGAAATTCCGGGTGGACGCCGTCCACCCAGTAGATTAAATCACTGTGGTCAACAACTACTCTAATGAATGATACTTAATTAGTGTTCATCTCTTCAAACCGTCCACCTTATCTTAGTTAAAACTATAACTAATACTATCTGCCGAAAACTTTTAATACAATAGAAAAATAATAAAAATGAATACCATGTAAATCAAGATCACGTAATTCTGCCATGTCAGCACGAACAATTTGATCAGCATCAACAAAAATAACTTTTTTGACATCTAATGGAAATAAAACATCAAGAAAAAGTATTTTGTAACCCCATATAACACGTTGTTTTTCAGTTGGATAAACTGTTAACCATTTTGGCCATTTATATTGTACAAGTTCATATGTAAAATTATAATGGTTAGCATAATATGGTAAAAAACTTGTAAATGATGGTGAAAGAAAATTTTTTAAAAACCAAAATTTTACGGGTTTTTTCGTATTTTTAAGTACACTTATCATCATTAAACGTAATAAACGTTCATAAAGATGACCACTAGCGACAGAAAATATATTTATTGTATCATCTGTTATATCATCGATTTTAGTTGATGATGATGATGATGATGATGATGAACTACTACCAAAACTAAATGAATCCCAAATACTACCAGAATTTGAAGGTGTTTCATCTGATGAATCTTCAAGTAATTTTTCATTTTCTTTTCCTGGTTTTCTTCCAACATAAACTTTAATCCAACGTGCATCAAATGAACGTATTGCAATAAGAACAGGTTGACTTGTACGTGTTGATGAATCTGTATTATCATGTGATGCTATTGTATAAATATCATCAGAACGTCCTTCACGTAAATTTAAATGCCATAGACCTGGATAAGCTTTCAATTGAAAATAACCAAGATTAGCCATAACAATTGTATCAAATATATTTTTTGTTTTATTTGTACCTAGTATTAATTGTAAACCACGAGGATAACTTTGCGCCTCATCAAAACATTGTCCTTCAATTAATAAATATTGTAATTCAAAATTAGCATTAACACCAATAGGTACATCTTCTAAATGTATATTATCCAAATCATAAAGTGATGTAACAGCTTCAACCATCCATGATTCTGGTGTAACCATGCCTAATGTTAATATAGGTGTTTCAGGCACATGTTGAAACAAAGCACTTGGCATTTGTTCTAAATTAATATCATAAACATAACGATAAAAACTTTTTAATGGCATTTCAGATAATTGTAATTTACAATTAAAATATATAATAAGATCATAATTTACTGATTGACGTAACGCTGATATTAATGATAATAAACGTTGACCATCACGTGATGCTGGATCAATAATAGTTTCAAGTAAAAATGCTGGTTCATCTGCACGTTGTGCTGGTAGATAAAGCATAGCTTTTGATGATGGTGATATGCGTGGTGTTTGTTTACGTGTTATAGGTGAAGAATTTTTATCATTTTGAATTAATATTGATGATATACGCATAAGAAGATCAGATAATTGTGATGGATTATTAGATAATTCTAATTTATTTACTATACTAACAAGACGATCATTAATCGTTGTTGATAAATGTTTATCAAGTAGAATAAAATCATCTTCAGTAAATTGTTCATTATCATATAATGGACCTAATATACGTCCATTGACTAAAACTAATCGTGAACCACGTTGTAAATGAAGACCATGTTGAATAAATATTGAATGAGATTGAAATATATTATCATCAAATGTTGCTATTTCATGTTCAAGTGTTTGACTACTAAGACCACTTACTGTAACATCAGCCCATGTTTTACGTTGAGCTAATAAATCTTCGATAACACTTTCATCTTTAAGTAATTTTAAAATAAATGTACGAGCTATTGGAGGTGAAAGAAGACGAATAGCTGTATAAACAGCTTTTGTTATTGGATGACTACCTGGCTTCGATTCAGAATTGAAGGAAGCCTAAATAAATAAAAATAAAATTTTTCATAAAAATGAAGATAATTATTTTGTTTTCATAAACCGAGATCGAAGGAATCGGGATAGAATCAAAAAATTTTTTTAGTCGGAATTAGGACCTACAGTTTTCTTTATTGAAAGCGATAACTTTTATAGTCGTGTAAAGCTTGTGTCGAAAATCATATTACTATGACGTATATATTCTAAATAGATATGAGCAAGACGTGTTCGGTTTTAGTTCTGCTCGAATCAAAAGTAACATACTCCTAATCTCATGGCACTGGCTAATCCTGCTCATGTCTAGTATAACTTTAATAGAAAATAATTTATTCTTTGCATTTTTGTTTTCAATAGAATTTTACGAAAACTTACTAATAAACCTAATCTTGCATGTGTATGACTTTTTAAATATGTTAAAGCATTAAGAAATAATTGTCGTCCATCAGATCGATCAAGATCACAAGCAATCCATAATGTAATAGGATAAAGTGGTTGACCTAATTCATCTTTTTTTCCTAAATAAATCATACTAGCCATAATAACACCAGCTTGTTCACGTACGGATAATGTTTGAAATTTGTTTGAATCTAATAAATCTTTTGTTTGACCATTTATTATTGATAAATCAACATAAATTGTTGGCATTGATGGTGTTTGTCCAAATATACGTTGATTTAAACGTTTAACAACATTTGGTTTTGTATTTAATATTTCAATAATATCATCGGAATCTTTTAATTGTCCATGATAAACTTGTTGTTGTATATCAAATTGCATTTTTAACATACGTGTTGTTATAACATCATCAAATGCTGTTGGTAATAATTCATCAGATGTTAATGGATTACCATTAAATAAAACATGTGGTATACCACGTGATAAACCACTTTGTTCAAAATATAAATTCATTTCATGTCGTTCATTTTCAAATGGATTTGTTTCATCGAATATTGATGATAAACTACCAGAATATTTTGCTATTTTAGAAAATGTTTGTTTAACATCCATATTTTTACTTTTATATAATTCATTAATAAATGTTAATGCACGTTTTGGATTTCCATTATATTTTAATAAATAACGAAATGCACGATAAACATTTATACCATATTCATCTGTTGTTACAAATACTAAACCAATACGTATTGGTAATTCATGAACAAAATAAGCTTCAATATTTTTCATTAAATCTTCTGATGTATCAATTTGTGATGGATCAATAATAATAACAAGATTATAAAGATTTTTACGTATTGTACGAAGACCACCAAAAAAATTATTACGTAATAAATCATAATAAGTTGATGGCCATTTTGCATATTGACTATCTTTTTCAAGATCATTTAACCAAAGTATTGATGGATGACGAAAATCAAGTATATAACTCATTGTTTGAATATTTAATTCATTTGTTAATAATTGTCTTACATGATGTTTATTTAAACCAACCATATGTAAACGTTCCATCATTTGTCCTTCATTTAATAATGTATTTAATAATACATATAAATCAATTGTATCTAATGATTGTGGTATTGAATTAATAAATAATGCTGAATTACCCGGTTCAAGTTCCATACTGGAACGAAACTCTTCTTGATTAAATTTATGAGATTCACGAAATGATGAATCAACTTTAACTTTTGATAAAACACTAAAATAAATAATACAAAAAACTTCTTAGGATTTAAAATATGGAATTCACAATGTGTCTTTTAGCTTCATTAAACTAATACAAAATACATTAAGTTAGAAATCTTGAACGAACTATAGTGATTTTCTAAGGATGGCTGATCATCAGAGAAACAATACGCTGTATTTTTGTATATCGTTTTCCTTTATTTAATACTATTATTATTCTAATCATTTAATAAACTAAACAACTAAGTCTTTTGTACACAGCAGATCTCAATGCTTTACGAGGCATCACGATAAACTCATGAACATTTATATTGATTATTTCAACAAAGTTATAACTTGATCAGTTCATGTTTTCTTATGTTAACCAGTTGATAACTATGGTAAATTTATCCATCATATATATTTGTTTATCTGTGCAAAAATAAGAAACTACACTATTTAGAACATTCATACACGTATTGTAGCAAGAGATGTGCAAGATAAGCCTTTGTGTACCTAGTTCTTGAGCTCTCCACACACACTCACTACCTAAAGGATTAGGTGTATGTCACAATATAGTCAACATATTATCGGACGGATGATCTGAGACAAACAGTCGTTATTAACTTGCCCAAGGTCATTTTATGGCTGATGATACCGAAGTTTTTGCAATATCCCTACTCAGCCAAGACGGCCTTGAAAAGGAGTTTGATATGTATTATCCTCGATTGCTTGAGAAAATTTACTCATTGACCTCTGCATAATTTCTCGTTGCTAACAGTCAAAACAGGATAGGTAGGGATACTCGAAAAAAATATAAAACGAATTCTTTATTTTTACCGAGCACGAGACGGAAAGTTTTGTGATAATTCTACCAATGTATTAAATGCTTCTTCAGGTGTTTCTTCAGTTAATGCACGATATGCACATTGTAAACTAAGATCTTGCATTTGCCATGCTTTAAGTGGTGTCATTGGATTTGAACCATCAAGAAGATATGTACGAAAATCATTTAATTCACTTTGTTTATTTGGATGAAGATCTTTTAACAGGAAGAAAAAGAAGAAGATGGAATATCAAAAATCAATGATGATAATTTCAAACCTATAAGTTTTGAAAAAACAAAACCATGAATTTGTTCTTCTTGTTTTTCATTATCGGATTGTGAAGCTGTTCCATTTAATTGATCATCACGTATCTAAAATAATATATAATAAATAAACTTGTTGAAAAGAAAAAAAAATGGTATTTTGAATCGATTTCACAAAAACTGATCTAGAATATTTATTATCAATCTATATTTCAAGAGAATATTATTTTGTTTTTATACATATATATATATATATTATAGTAAGACTAACATAAGAATTAGATTCTATTTGTTCTCGATTTCGAAGGCACACACTTACTTTTGAATCATCTGTTGCTTTATATTCAGTACTTTTTATTTGTAACTCAACACCATAACCAGCCAAACGAACTTTTCGTCGATCATCGATTGATGGCTAGAACAAAAAAGAAAAATAATAAATTTCTTTTATTATTATTTCAAAATAACTCACTTTACTATTATGTCGAAGGACATAATCAATTTTTCCATTAAGTGATAATTCAACAAGTTTATCGTGAAAAGGTTTAAACTCATTCTGATTACCAAAATCACCGTAGAGAACAACAGTAACAAGTGATTTCTGTTCAATATTATTATTAATTGAATAATGATGATCGAATGGTAGTACAAATTTTGATCTAAACAACAAAGAGAAAAATAATATTTCTTCATAATTAAAAACATTCATTTTCTCATCTTCACTAAATTTTAAGGCTAAAAAAACAATCTCAAGTTCTACAAGAAAATCTTACCAGATGACTTAGATATGGCAAATTACTTCTCGATAATCCATTATACTTTTCTTTTCAAAGGATATATGATTTCATAAATACGAAAGTAAGACTGATTTTGTTTCTTTTTTTTTTTATCACATTTGTATAGGACTAAACGAACAGTATTCATATCCGAAAAGAAAAGATTCTAATTCTATTTTTGATTCTTTATTTTTAATAAAATTTCTTAACTTACCTTTCATTAGCTGATTTAATAAGATTATCAATATCATCAACATTACAAGTATATACACCATGTATATCAACAAATGTTGAACATTGACGTGTCATACCAGTATCATGAGCCATTTTACGCATCATTTGAACAGTTGGTGAATAAAATCGAAGTGCAAGTGCCATATGTAATAAACTATTTGTTATTGTGTTCAAATATTGACTACAAAATGATAATAATTGAGCATGATAAATTTCAGTGGAACCAACTAAATACAAAATAAAAGAATAAGAACAAAATAAAATAAAAATAAAAATCTTATTCTCTTACGTGCATTTGGTGTAAATAAATCAAATGAACTAACATCATTAATTAACGACCAAAAATATTGATGATTTTGTGTTGCAAGAAATTCACTGTTAAGGAAGAAACAAATTAATTTCATTAAATGAAATTAGTTTTTTTTTTTTTTTGTTTTCAATTCATATACCTTGCTTCTTGATGAAGTGATGTGTCTAACCATTTTGCATCAAGTGTAATTGAAACAAATTTATCTTTAACTCCATAACAATTAATAATAAATAAAACAAAGATTAACAAAACTTGTTGATAATTCATTCTTGTCTAATCATGATCTAGAATATAAGCAGAAAAGAAAAACAAAAACTACCATCATTATTGACAAACATTTCTTTTCTATTTATAATGCTATGTGTTTCGTTTGTTTCTTTTGTTGACCACAAAAAAAAAACAGAAAAAAATGTACAAGCATGCGCAACAACAAACTGAATAGCTAATTGTGGCAACACATGTGCCATTAATAATAATAGTACAATACATATTGACAAACAGAGACAAAAAAGAAAAAGTAAACTACTTTTGCTTGCTAAATGTGTTTGTGAAATCACATTTAGTATTGACAACAACAACAACAACAAAAAAAGAGAGAGAGAGAGAAAAAGAGCGAAAATGTACATTAATGAGAAAAAGAAAAGATCATTTCAAAATCGATTTTATTTTATTTTATTTTATTTTTTGATAATGGAGCTTCTTTTAATAGACTATTTGTTTTAAAATATTTGCTTTTATCTATTGTTATAATGATGGACTATCATGGCCATTAACTTGATTTGAATCACTCGGCTGTTGATTTTCACCTAGATTATTATTAAGTCCATTTGATGGATAACCATTATTTATTGCTGGTCGAACAGGTGGACGAATCATTGCAAAACGTGCTGTTGGATCGACAATTGCATGTTGATATGAATGTGTTGGAGCCATAAATGGTGGTCGAAGACCAACAGGTTTCTAATTATAATTAAAATATCAATCAAATATGTTTTAAGAGGACGTTCTCTTTCAAACATTTTTGAAGCAACGGTTCATCAATGCTTTTCTATAGAGCTACATGATCTGACGAGCGAACCACCCGAGGTGTCAAAAAGCTTTTGAGCTGAAATTTTGCCCACAAGTAGGGGATGCATAGACTAGAAAAAAGCCTAAAAGGATATGGGCCCAAGTTGGGATTTGACTGAGATATCGACTATTTACCATAATTTTCCTATATGATCCTACTTGTCCGATAAAATCAAA